AAACGCTGCCAAACGAATAACGAATAAATTGGTTTTACTTTGCACTTGCATGAACTTGAGAAAAACTGTAAGCAGTGGGTAATGTGATTGTGATGCTCCCAAATCCAGCAGTGCTTGCTTTGCCCTTGCCAAGTTTACACATCTTTTCGCAATTCGTGAGCAATGGTCAAAACAAAGAGATTTGTAACAAATCTCTTTGTTTTATATATTTTATTTTATAAAATAAAAATATACTTAATATTTTTTATTTAGAAATTAAGAGAATCTGTAAAAATAAAAGGTATAAAATTTAGAATTATTTAAAAATATTAATATCAATTCTTAAAATCATTTTTAAACGATTAAAAATCATAAAATTTTACTAAAATTGTTTACTATATTTTTATATTCTTATGTGATAATTTTTTTAATAAAAAATTGTCATTTTTAAATATTTAGAATCACTTTAAGGGTTAGTGTGTGTCTATATATATATATATATATATATATATATATAAGTTAATATAAAAAGTAAACGATATTTAATATTTAAAATACAAAAAGCATTTATTATTATATTTTTATTGAATTATTTGAAAATTTCAGATTATTAAAATTAATAATTTAACTCTATATTCAATAAAAACTATGCACCGCGCTTTTTAATACTAAAAGCATTTCATTTCAATCGAGGTTTATTTTCCAATCTATCAATTTATGCTAGTATTTACATATAGCTAATTAAAAATGTTTATAATAATAACAATAAAGTCTATAAATCTTGCTATTCAAAAGGAATATGTTGCCTAGGTGTATTATTATAATGATTAGACTAAAAATACATTTTCAAGACTATTGGATCATACATATATTAAATTTTTATACCCTCATCATTAAATCCTAGTGTAGCATGTAATTAATGCGTGGCTTGCTGTAAAAATAAATATTTGTGGCATCTCCATATAAACTTAATATTTTATTTATGAGAAATCAAGAACGTTTGTAATTATTAAAAAAGCATAACAATTTAAAAAAATAATAAAGAACAAACAAAGTGTATCTTACTAATTAATTACTACTTTCGATCCTAAACTATTAATTACAATATTTAATATTATAGTTATTTTTAAAATAAAGTTTATATTTATGAAAAATATAAGGGACTTAATTACCTTTTTTAGTTTTTTATTTTTTATAAAAAAGAATAGAAGTAGTATTAACTAACTCTAGAGATTTATTACAAAGACCAACAATGATTAATGCATATATGCAAGCTATCTTAATTACATGGGTCCAGAGAAATAAAATTATATATCAGATCTCCCCAAAGTACTAATAAATGGGGACAAGCACCAGTGGGGCACTGACCAGTGACCACACTTCAATGCAAACCAAACCTACAATAAAGAGCAGAACGCCCAGATTGTCGTTAGATTCGCATTTACAAACAAACCACGTATACATATATTTGTCATTTTTGTTGAAGTGTGCTATATAGTTCCAGCTGGCCAATTCAAGGCAACAAGACGGACGCTACAAGGAAGCATCTTATTCTATACTTTATTTCATTTTTTCATTCAAAATATTCTCACCTGCCACTCTTATATTAGTAGTGAGATGACAAAGGTGTACATGTACGTTTCGAGTTTCAAGACAATGTTACATGTTTAAGGGACTTTAATTTCTGAAGTCTTATTCCTTTTTCTTTTAATAATTTAACCAAAGTTAGTATTTTTTACAAATGCATACAAATTGAAGTACAATTAATTTATTGTTAAATATGTTTTAAATTAATTAATTAGAAATAGGAGTAACTAAGTAAGAAGGGGGGAAATGATGTCAGATAATGGAACCAGTGACATCAACATTACCTTTTTTTTATTCACGCGGAAAGATAGGGACAACATATGAAGAAATATGACAAAATTTTGATAATTGAATTAAACCAAATTAGGACGGAAGATGAAAATAGACTTGTATTGCAATATAGGTCTACATTTTATTTCTACTATAAATAGTTACTTGAAAATAAATAAAATTATGAAACTTAAAATAAATGAGCAACGAGCAATTAAATTCGTTGGCGAGGAAAATTCATTCAACCGTGGCTGTTTTATTTGTAATTGACTATGTTTCACCGTTTACCAAGGAAATTAAATAGGGTGAATATGCTACACAGATTTGTTGTCTCATATGATGAGATAATCGTTTTGTATTTTGACTGCATTTAAAACTTTCATTCTTCTTCTCTGTTTTTCTCGAAAACTATGTGCAGTCGTTAAAATTGTATAATTTATCCTTTTACCTTTTTTTTTATCGTTTCAATGATACACTTATCGTACAAAAAAAAAAGAAAATTACTAAACACATTTAGTTGTAAAATTTGTTTAAATATGAATAAAATATCTTTTCCTTTCAATTTTTCTGTGCATATTTTTTCTTCAATTTTATTACTATTTTTTCTTTCCTTCTCTCACTCTACTAAACAAAAGGGAATGATGAGATAAAAAATGAAATGGACACAAAAATCGTTTCTCTTCAAATTGAGAAGAAACTGTTGAATTGAGATCCCAATTATGTATTTAAAAAGTCTAAATTTGTCAAGCTTATTTTATCTCACTTCACTCAAGTAGAGAAAGGTCTTCTAGGTCAAGAGAAGATGTTAATTTCATAGCTTTTTGAGAGAGAAAGAGGGCAAAAAAAAATTAGTTTACGTATTCATATATCAGTCTTAGTAAAATCGCGATTCTCGCTTCATTTACCATTAGATCAGGCTGAAAATTTGACAGCAGTTCATAACATAGTGTTCTTTGTTTTGACCATTGGAATCGTGGATTGAAAGTCTACTGTTAAATAAATCAATTTCGTACAGTTACTTTGGTTTTAGAGTTCTTCTTCTTCGTCTTTTAAATTAGAAACTTTATTATTTTGATGTATTGGTTGATTGTAAGCACTTTTTTGTGTATTTGATTTGACTCTATTGTACTTCTTATTTGATCACAGTAGAGCTTAATTTATTGGCTTGTACCAATGTATTTTTACTTCACATTGAGAAGATTTTTTTACATTAAAAATATTTGTGTCTCTTTATGATTGCTATTATTCTTTACTATTATTGTTGCTTCTAGTTAGTTATTACAAATTGAAAAAATTATTTTTCTGTGTACTTTGGTACTTTTGTTGTTATGTTGTTGTTTTTCCCATAAAAAACAATGTAAAAATTTATTTATTTATTTATTCCTTTCATTTTAATCTTATCCCTTAATTTTATTTTATTTTTTTTGTTTATCTCGTCCTCCTCGCACCATAATGAATGTCTTCAATTTATTATTAAATAAACAAAAACTCAAGATTAAGACGTGATAATCTTACTATTCAAAGTGGTGTTCCACGTTGATGAAGTAATTGAGACTCTACTAATATTTTTTTAAAATACTATCAGTCTTTAAAATTGAGTTTAAACATAAATAATAATTTTTATTAAAAAAATAAAATGTTTATTATATTAAAAAATTTAAAATATTTTTATTATAATAAATATTTTATTTTTAATAATTTTTTATTATTAATTACTAAATCATAGTTTTAAAAACTGAAAATAATACCATTATAATTTTTAAAATTAATTATTAAATTTATTGTTATTATTTTTGAGTGCTATTTGTTCATGCTGTTAATTTTAGGGGAAAATATTAAAAAAAATTATATAATTAAATTTAATATATATATATATATATATATTATAATTTTTAATAATCTATAACAAAAAATTAAGAGTATATTAAAAAAAAGTGTTGGTAGCATTCCTTAATTTTAGAATACAAAAGAATGTGAGTAGGGTTGTCGATCCGAGCTATAGCTTGACTAATAATGGATTGATCAGGCTAACTCTTTTTTTGAATTTGAATAAAAATGTGTAGTCTATCCTATTTAAGAATGGGTCACGAGCTAACCCATCAACTCGCTCAAAAATTAATTTAAAAAGGGATATTATCAAAGACATTAGTTAAATTATTTTTTCTTCTTCTATCAAATATTCACTTTAAAGGAAAAAAAAATAGCTCAGCTAACCAACCTATCCTGAATTTGCCTTTACATATTTTTAAATAGGTTATGCAGGGGGAGAGATGAATTATTGGGTCTTAATACTATAACTTGACTTGCCTAATTTAGTGGGTTGTATGAATTTACATCCTTAAGATTTATATATTCATGTTAATGATCTTTTAAATTTTAATTAATTAATTAATTATCATTTACTATTACTGGTCATTATTTTGATATCAAGTTATCATTATTTTCATAGTTCTGATCCTCATTTTGTTTTTGATTTTTTTAAATAGAAGGGCGATGAATTAGTTCAATAAAATTTAAGAAATGTATTAAGGAATCAACTCATTTGTTTATTGAAATTTAATTTTTTGCATAGAAACGGATCATCTTCCACCGATAATTCTATTTCTACAAATGAGGCAATAATTTGCAATTGGATTAAGTATCCAAAGGCTGGATCGAGCTGGGTGAAAAAATAATTTAAATTTTCACATACGAAGAATATCATGCTACATCCTGTCTCTTTCAAGACAAATATGTCAAGACATAAAACATCAAGGTGGTTAAAAAAAAAAAGTGGAAATAAACAATCAAAACCCTACGTCACTATGGCCCAGAAGTGGTTTTTTCTCTCAAACTATGAAGCTAATCCAATTGGACCAACAAGAAAAAATATTAACAATTGCTCTGCTTAATGTCAGCTCCTGCAGCCATGTTTGTGGACGTGGCATTTTCAGTTTGGGAAGCATTAAGACCATGCCAGTTCATCCACTGAAGAAGAGACATGTTTAACCAAGCCATCCCTCTGCAAAAGGAAAGCTATAGTAAAACCATGACTCTACATTCAAATTCTCAATGATCAATTCCATAATCGTCCCTTCAAAGTTAGATAAGTCATGACTCTAATAATCTACACACGGACATGGCCAAAGAAAACAATAGTTACAAGTGCCACTTCCAACTTGAACCTAACTCTCATCATCTGAACTAAAATCGTCCATCCTCCTATCTGGGACGGCCTGTAAAAGCCGCGAATGAAGATTAGGAGGGGGAGGACGGATTTCGAAGGAAGATGACCTTTTAGAATTAGTAGAAGAGTCTTGTTTAGAACTTTCTTTTTCTTGTTTAGAACTTTCTTGTTTCACAGTACTCTTTGGTGCTTGGCTTGCTGGCTTCTTTGGTGCATTTCTTATCTCCTTGCATACCTTATCCAACATTATTAGAAAGTCACGTACTATTGCAAACAACCTTAATCCTTCATCCCTCCCTGAATTCCCATGAAAATAATCACCGGTGCTTTTCACAAGACCCATGATTTTCTTCTCTTCTTCTAGCAGATTTGTGACATCTACCTCAGCTTTCTCTAGAAAACTCTTCACTGTCTCATAAAACCCTTTATCATCATCAGTGCTAGTTAGGTCATCCTTCACAAAGTCTCTTGTTCTTATGAGACCGTGCCCTAGTCTTGCAGTTGTTCCTATTAAGCCATCAGCATCTAGAGCTGCTGCTTTCTTCACATTCTCAAGTTCACTGCTCAAACGTGAAACCACTTGAAGGCCAAGTTCACGATAGTGCTCTTCTGATTCATAACAGATGTCCTCAAGTAGGTCTTCAGTTTTTATACTAGAGAAACTGTGACTCTCTTTTGCCATGCGTGCAGCTCTTATGCCCTCAGTGCGCATTATCTCTAGAACAACAAAGTGTAAGAGAGTGGTCTTTCCATCTACTCCTTTTACATCAGATAGTTTTAGTAGTGTGTCAAGTTTGAATGCTAGTGCACCACCACGGAATGTTCCATCATTCATACGGTTGCCAGTTTTAAGAACAGCTTCTAGAAGCTTAAGGAACAATCGACTGCTTCTTAGTTCCTTACTAGCAACCTGGCATCATATGAAGGTCCAAGAAGAATCAGAATTGTTTTCAAGAGGGGATAATTAAAACAAAAATAGAATATTGAGTGTAATCCTTCCCTGAATTCCCATGAAAGTAACCCCCTGCCAAGTTATTATATGTTCTTGTTTTGCATTACTTCAACAATATCTCAGATTTCACGATAATAACCTTGGTACAAAGAGTATAAGAAATTCACTTCATGTGTCATGATCCTTTAAATTTTAAAAAATTAATTTATTATATCATAGCTTCGAACTCAATAATTTATAAAAGACAACAAAACTAATATTGAAAAGAGAACAAATAAATACAAATTAAGGAAATAAAATCAATAATAGAAGGATGCCAATTATATGATGTATACCTGTTAAATTTGATCTCAGTGAGAGTGCATGTGTTTGAAAGAGCGAGAGTGTGTGAATATAAATAAATCTTGAAGTAATTTGTAAATCATTATGAGCAAGTTTGGCCAGAAATTTGTTAGCATATTACTTACAACATTCATTTGGACACATGTAACAAATGTCTTACTCTACCTAGCTCTGGCAGTTTTTGTATGAGTTATTGTGTTCCTGATATTGAATATCATGAGATAGCACACTCAAGTCATTCCATGGTTTTGTCTTGCATTAGCTTAACTATATCTTAGATGTCAAGATCATCACGATATAAAATGTATAAAATTTGCAACACGTTGGCTATGATGGCAAAATATTGATGTAATTTGAAGATCCTACCTCTAAAATTGCAAAAGAATCTAGAGCAGTAGTGAGCTCTTCTTGAAGAGTACCCATGTAAAGCAATGCTTCCATTCGTTTATAAGAAAATGGAATGTTAACCATGGCTTTCAGGAACCTATCAGCTGGGCCGAGTTGGGATAGGCTCCCATTGAAATATCTAAGCTTAAGTTCTTCCTCCTGCGTTGGTGCCATCTTTAGCAAGGTTTGAAGGAATTCTGGAGGGAGCTCATTTCCTGATAAGCCAAAAAAAGATTCAAAGCTATTATACAAGCATAACTAGAGACCACAAATTATTTTGTCTTGCATTTCTATGTAGTTCTATCACAGATCAACATGTGTGTCGTGATTTAGCACATATGGAGCTCCAAAGGAAACAATGCATCTATACAGGAAATCTTTATCATAGTAACATAGAACAACTAAATAAAACTTAAAAAATCCAAATAACCAAGCTAATCACATCTTGTTTGGCCAATATTTAGAAGGTTTTGTGTGTGACTATGGAGAGAGAGAGATTGAATTTTCTCTATTGTATGTCTTTAAACCGTAGACACAGACACACACATGTAGACATCTTAAATAAATGTCAAAGCCTAAATTTATAGATTTAGGGTCAGAATATTGCATAAGTTGGATGAAGCTACTTTCTCCCATAAAAGAAAAAATAGAATTCATAACAATGTTTTGAGAAGCACTTGATCCTTAACTTCATGATTAAATAAGTCAGATAGTTTTAAAATAATATTAAAAAATAACAATTCCCTTATAATGTTTGCCCCAGCTACAAGAAAATGATGTTAGTTTCAAAGAACCTACTTTATACTGCTGATCCGACATTGCAGGCATCACTTGGTACTTAAACTAATAAAGCAGTGATTTATTTTTTAGCAGAAAAACCTAATTACTTAATATTACATCTATCAACAATTTTAGGGGAAAAAATTGAAGCAACAAAATACTCACCTTCAAGAAGTGCATCACAAACTTCTTCCTGTGTCACATTCAATGCTTTTAACAGAATAGATAAATTTTGTGATTTCTTTGAGTCAATGATTTGGATATACTGAGGTGAATCTTGGGAGGAAGCGTCCTTTTTTGGTAGGCCTTTGTTTTTATCAGCTGCAGGTGGAGCATTATAGCCAAAAAGCGTCTCTATCATTTCTTCATTAAACCTATCAAATATCCATCATTAGCAACCAATAACATTTTTTTCTTCAGGAGAAATAAAAGAAGTTTGAGACACATTACTCACTGGAAAGATCCTGCTTTGAGCTGATTCCAAACCATTGTTTGATCTGAGTTAGCTTGAACCTTATCCCAGAAAAAAGGCTTTAGCTTGGCTTTAGGAGCATCACCTTCATAATTAGGAAATGGAGGAGCTTTGGGTCCATTAGGTATATTTTTAGTCACCTTTGGGCCAAGTGGGGGAGGAGCTTTTGGAGGACCTACACCACCCTTGAAGGGAGGTGGTGGAGGTCTAGGACCATTTTTTGCTCTAGGTGGTGGTGGTGGGGGAGGCTTAGGGCCGCCACTAGGAGGTGGAGGACCAGCACTAGCAGGTTTTCGTGGTGCAGGAGGAGGAGGAGGAGGAGAAGAAGAAGAAGGAGGAGGAGGAGGAGGAGGAGGAGGAGGAGGAGGAGGGGGAGGAGCAGCATCAACTGAAGGCTTAACTGAAGGTGGCTCAGGTGGAAGACGATTAGGTCTTCCAGGAGGAGGTTTCAAAGGAGGCATTGCAGTTACTGCTCTCCCGGGAGGAGGTTTAAGTTCAAATGAAGGTCTAGTAGCAGAACTAGCAATTCTTACTGGTTGAGGTTCGTGCACTGAGTTGTTCTTGTCATCAACCAAAGATTTACTTGATGATTGAAACCCAAGTTTCTCCTCTTTTATTGAATTTTTACAAGAATTATGAAGAGGGGAAGAACCTGTAAGAAGTACATTTTGTCAAGAATAGTGCATGTAGATGTATGTTATATCACATTAACTAGGAAAAATATAAAGGAATGAAATATTAGATATGTACCAACTGAGTAGTCACTCATGCTCATGCTGAGAAGGGGTCTCTCATCAGTTTGTACTTGGCCACTCCCACATAACCGACAACAACAAAAAAAGAGCAATGCTGCTCCTAAAAATGTCACCAATGCAGTTATACCTATGGCAGTAATAAGCGATTCTTCTTGATTAGAAGACTTGGACTTATTTTTTTTGGCCTTTGAGTCTTGACCCTCGGAACTACTGTCTTCCTCGTCTGGTGTTTGTGATATGCGCTGGGGCAAAACATGACTCAATCTTCTAGAAGAAAGTGATCCCATAAAAGCAGCATGCCAAATCTTGGAGTCATCCTCTTCTTTAGGGACATGGAATGGAAAGTTACTTTTTCTCAAACAGTTAAGAAAGTTTTCCTTCAATTGAGGATAGCAGGTATTAATCAATTTTTGGATATTTTCTCTGGCTATTAATCCATTTTCTGAACTAACTTCATTGGTGCTTTGGGGGCACAAGTCAAGATCTCCAATTTCTTTCTTTAGATGTATCAAATCTTCCCAACAAGTTATCCAGAGTACCTCTGCCTGCAGTCATAAAACTATAACCAGTTTTAGAGTCCATTCATCCATTCTCACAATAATGGCTCACAACAATGTTAACCATTATGTGCTTTCAAATCTAATGAATGATTATAATAATCAAAGCATTGCAATTTAGTGCATATGATCTTTATTGAAATCAAGTGTGAATTGAGTCCCACATAAAATAAAATATGAGTAAGTTAAGGGTTTATAAAGAGATGGACTATATACTCATTGCCTTAAGGTTTTGGAGTTACATTATGATGTCTACTCATTGTAAGGCTCCCTACCTAATACTCTTAAAAAAATCTAACAGTCTTCACAATAATTACATAAGGAAATATTGAAACTTATCCTTATAAATGAGAGTGCCTGCTTAGTTAAATCTTGTGGAAGTTTACTGTTTCAGATAAAAGTCAGGTTAAAATAAAAACACAGTTGTATTTATACCTCTCATTTGACATGAAACACAAAAGGACGCGTTTTTAAAAAAAAAAATAAAAATCTGAGATTTCATATAGAAACTCAAGCAATCATGTCATCCAATAAAACATTGCAACTGTATGACCTATGGTGATCTTTAAGGTAAGACATTTGCAAGGATAGATTTAATCACAATAACACAAACAATGGCCACCAAGAAAATGCTAAACGAGCGGACAGCATGCAAGTTTACTATCAAATCCATGAATCGTGGTAAATAGAAGGAAAATAGCAACTGTTATCCTTCTTGCGTATACTTTATCATTATCACTGGCATCATTAAAAATGTTGCTTTTAATTTTTCCCTCGATCAAGGAATGATGGGTTTATGTAATCACACTAGCTACCTACGTGAGACTGAGAAGTTGCTAAATTAACCAAATGCTAAATTGTAACATTTTTATTAGGATGAGGCAGGGTAGATATTGGGCATTCGCACCATTTGGGTTTAACAGCATGAATGGGATTGTCGAATAAAGGTGTTGACAACTAAGACAGTAAGTTAAGAAATAGAATAAAAATGTCAGCAACATATTCTTAAACACACTGTATTATTGAGTAAGATTCATATTTCTTTCACTAAATAATAAATAAAACTTGTTAGATAGGAGTGGGACCTGCATGATTTAATGATTAGTGAATCCTCCCAAACAAAAGACACAACTATTATTCTCATTGAAAGTCAAAACCTCAAATTTTCCAAGTTGGTATAAGGAAAAAAAAAAGGGAAAGGGGGTTAAAATGATGGTAGTGATTGAACTTAAAAAGTATCTACGTACAAATAGCTAGTGAAGCGAGTCTCACCGTGTCTTCATCCAACAGTCCAGATGCTGGATCAAACAGTTGGCTAAGGAATTTTTCTTGAAATTCCTTCTGTTCATCATTTGTGGTTGCTGCCACAATATTAAGAACCAAAACGATGCAAAAGCTAGCTTTTATGATACCTATATATGGTTGAATTGCCATTCCAAAGTGCTTCGTATGCTTTGTATTACATCAATGCCTAAAACCAACAAGCACACAGGTCTACATTGTCTTCATCGACCCACAAAATTTCATCTTTTGTCATGCAATGCCAACCCAATTCTATTCCTCTGCAGATTACTGCAGACACAAATTCCACAATACCCACCGAGGATGCAGCCAAAGCCACAATTATGGGATCATATGCAATGATCACAAACAAAAACCTTTTTTCACTACCCCTTCAAAATTGTCAATTTATTATTGAATCAGATCACGATCAATAGAAGGTAATAATTATAATAACAACAAATATAAATCCACCACAAAGCAATCAAAAATAGCTCCAAAAAATTTTATCCATTTGAATAACATCCCATAGGTCCTGGCACATGCACGGTTGAAATTCAATGCAAATGCAAACGAAAAGCTTTAGGGAAGATTAAAAAAAAAAAAGGGGTCTTTTGTGTTATTTGCATGAGACAAGATCCTGGGAAAGTAACCAAAAAATGTATAATGTTGGATCAATGCAAATAAGCCATGCTATTGATCATGAAATGTTGAAAGATGTGACAATTTTTTTTGTGGTAATAATAATGAGTAATAGTGATAAAGTTGGTGAATGGTTTTTTCATGTGTTTTGGATTATGAAGAGATGATGGGGTTGGGGAGTTTCTTGGCGCAAGCACCACCATGCGCAAAGGGCCGTCCTATGAATTCTTCTGGATTAGGACATTGGCGACTACTCTGAAACACATATTTCTCTTTTTATGCATCTTTTTCTCTCTCTCTCTTCCTTTCTTTCTCTCTCATCTTCTCTCTTTTTTTCATTTTTTTTTTTTTGCAAATCTTTTTTTCTTTTACAATTTTCTAATTTTGTGGAAATTACATGAAAATTTATGAGCCGTTGTAAAATAAGAGATTTCATTATTTTCTCTCTATCTTTAGTTATATGACTCAACATAATAATGAAGGCAGATTCACTATTTATCTCCCTTTGGTAAAAAATAATTTGGACAGTTGAATATTGTTCTGTTTATGTGCAAATTCCTAGAGTGTAGACACATTAGTTTGTACCATTATATTTTGATTGTTATTTATATGCTTCAAATCTTATCAAAATTTTATTTACCATTGTCACGTAGTGATAATAATAATAATAATAATAATAATAATAATAATAATAATAATAATAATAATAATAATAATAAATGTATGGTTAAGAAATCAATAAATATATATTTTTTTATAAAAAGTTATATTAAAATACATGAAAGTGAATATATTTTTAAATTTTTTAATAAGATATTTGTATTTTATATTTTTTAATTGGTGTTCTAAAGACATTGTTTAATATATTTTTAATAATGATGATGATTTATACAATAAAAAAAAACCATCAAGGGTAGGCAAATAATGTTTTTTAGTAAATTGCAGGAATTATTAACAGCACATTACTTATTTGGTAAACTAAATTGTTTTAAATACTTAATATTTAGCCACCTTATGAGTTGAAGTGAATAAAGGCTTATTGAATTATTTTAAAATATTTTTATTATTTGACATTGTAATAAAATAATTTTAATTTTTAAATCATATGAATATTTGTAGCAATAAGAAACTCTCACATTTCAGCCGAACAGTGATTTATTACTTTATGAAAATTAGGCCCTTTAGACTGGAGGATATAATTCCAATTAGTAATTGAACAACTTTATGGTTTATTCCCAACTGCTATATTTTTGAGGTGGCTGGGGGAAGTTGGCTTATCCTAATTTAAAAATAATAAACTACAAATACTATCAGCGCCGCCCTGCTGCTAAAGGATCCACCGTCCATAGTGGCTTCATTATTTGATGTGCTAAAAACTCTAAACATCTATCAAGTAGATTTCAACCCTGCTTTTGCCAAAAAAAGCAAGTCTATGAGATGTCCCATGAATGATTAACAATGCCCTAACCCTCCTTGCCACCGGTCAAAAGCTCAATGTCCTTTACAAAAAATCATAATGTATAAATACAAGGAAGGGATGAGATAACCTTATTCTAAGTTTTTTGGTTAACTTCTTTCGCTGAATAATTTCTTAAAAAAATATTTTATTAATCTAATCATTGTTTTAAATTTTTTTTAAAAGTATATCAATTTTATAAATTTTTTAAATAAAATTTATCTAAATTTTGATATGTATAATAAGATGATATTTCAATGTTTATAAAAATTATTAAATAAAATAAGTAACTAATTTTTATTACTGCACTAATTGGATCTCTTCCTGTTTATATATATATATATATATAGAAAGAATGTATTGAATGAGATGAACTTTTAACGTGGGAATGAGAATGATAAATTTTAACCATTAAATTTAATTTTATATAATTATTACGTAACGTTTTAACTATCTATATATGAAAATATTACTCCTTACTGTGATAAAAAAAAATTATCTCATATAGATACATTCTATACATGTATATGTATTCTTATTTTGATTGAGAATGCGCATCAAGACAATAGACATCATTCCTTCCGAGGCATGCAAGAATCAAGATTCCTTTCACACTCCTTTGCTTATTGAAAAGGCACGTCATGAAGAATCTGGAGTTAATATGCCATGGATTTGGGTGATAACTCATAACTCATGAAAAGCCAATTACAGAATTATTGGAAAGGACTTATTACTCTTTTTGAGAAGATTAAAATTGAATCTTACTATTCAGAACCTTTATCACTGGGAAGCGGACCTTGACATTGATCCGCAAAATGCAAATCAATGCCAGTAAGAAAATTTATAATTACATTGTTAAATGTAAACAATTTATTACATCTCCTTAGAAAATTTAAATTTTTTTATGCACTATTGTTGCAAGAGAAAAAAAATCTACAGGAAGAAAGCATCAATTCTTCATGCTTGACACGTGATAAACAGTTAAATAAGTAAGCTGATAAGTATATTGGCAAAGAAAAACAACATCAGAATTGATGCTTGTCGGTTCTCAATCTGTGAGAACAGTAATCTTCAATTGGAGTTTGGACAAGAGAGCAAATAAACAGAAACATTCATGATTCATTGAATAGAACAAATCCTGCCCCACATAATTAGTCTAGTTCAGTGATTAGCAAACTCTTGGAAGAAGAATATGGTTTATAGTTGAAGATAGAAATTAAAGATTGAAATCCTTATAATCATCTTATGTTTGTGTAACAAATAGAGCGAGGTTGATATTTGCATGTGTGGGGACCTTTTTTTCTAGAGAAATAATCATTTTTTTGTTAGTTCTCTATAAAAGATGATACAAGTAAACCAGTATTTATTTAAAACAAGTTAAACCAAACATATACAGTGCAAGTAAATAAATCAGTAACCATTACAGAAGAATGACTTGAATTTCATAAGAATAAATTATTATAATACAAATAATTAAGCCAAAGCATTTCTATAAGGGTTCTTAGATTTTGCTAGAGCATTAACCACCGGTCACAAGACTTTGACTTGATTAGTAGCCCTTTCCATTTTTTCACTTATTGTGCTAAACAACCAAAATGCAATGGGATACCACATAGGCTTAGCCATGCGTAATTTGCCTGACATAGCTTCTCTCCAGAAAGGAGAGAAGTCCATAAAAGAAAATATTCCTTTAATAGCTTTACAGTCTCCAAATATGCCAAAAGAATTTGTTCTCTATTTTATCATATAGCTTCTTTCACACTACAAGAGAAAGGTCTTAAAACTCTTTCTACACCACTCACAATTGTTCAGTCTCTCTAAGCATCAATGACTAGTTCTAACAAGAATGGTGTGTTTCACTAGGAGAAGAGATTTTCAAAAGATTCTTCAGCTAGACTAATCCAACAGTGCATAAGGTTTTTGCTGATGGATCACTTTTCAGTCCAATGCTATTTGGGAAGTTCTTTGATCCTTCTGATATGATGCCTTCCCTCTGTGGGAGTTTGAGCTAGATTTTTTTTGTCTCATCTAAAGAGTTCCAGCCAAAGCACTGTAGATGGGCATGAGACATATGAAGGCTAGATACTAAAAGTAGGTTGTCAATTCGACCCGCTTATAGTAAGCCTGAAAATGAGGCAGTACTACTCATTTTTTAATTTGAACAAAAATGTATAGTATGTCCCGTTTAGGAGTGACACAAATTAAAGAAAAAAATATAATTACAATTATAATTATAATTTTATAATTTTAAAACACAAATTAACATCTTAAAAGTTTAAATTATAAACCATAATTCATCAATCTACGAACCAAAATAAAATAATAATTCACAATATTTTTAAGTCTTAATCAAAATAAATAATCTATAAATTAAAGTCAAAATCATAAAACATAATTTACAGAGCAAAATAAAATTTCAAATTACAATAACTTTAAGTTTTAATCATCATCCTCTAAATTAAAACATTTAAATTTGATGCTGCATTAAAAAATAATAGTTACATGTTTTGATTGTCATTCTTATCACTAACATCATCATTATTTATATATATAATTACGTATCACAATTAAAGAAGTAATTACTAACATTAAATTTTAAAAAAATTAATAGTTCAAATTAAAATAATAGTAATATGTAAAACAAATAAATTACTACAATTATTAAATTTATGTATCTAATTGCGAGTACACATCAAAGCTTTGATGTATTTTGATAAGAGACGATTCTTACACTTATTAAAGATATATGAGGCAATGTCAAATGCAAATTTAGATGTAACAATATTAATGAGAATACTTAGTACGTCACGTGCCAATATTGATAGTTCAAAAATTTACACTACATCAAATGTTACTTTATAATTCACCAACTAAGAGAGCGGTTTACAAAAAATCGCTCTTCGTAGTACACTTAGAGAATAATTACTTCAAAGTTGCTTTCTAAGAAAGAATTTGGAGAGTAGTTATATATTAATTGCTTTCTAAGGTTATTCTTAGAAAGTTGTTACATTATAAACATACTCTTTAAAGTCACTTTTAAAGAGCCTTTAAGTCT